AAGATGGTCAGGTCGAGTTCTTCTACTATCCCTGCGAGATTCACCATTTGAAGTGACAAGTCCTGAGACGAGAAAACTTTTGTTCATTCGAATGTTCAAGTTGTATTTTTCTTTGATTGGTCAAACAATTATTGTCATAGCAAACTTTATTACTTTATCAATGCATCCATATGTCTGTTTTGAATCAATATATTCGCATTCGCTATATTCAAACTGCTTTCATTTTTTGTGATGTTCAAACTCTCAATTAATAATTCTAAGCCTTTTGAGGGAGGATGACGAAAACGATACCACAATCTACAGTATGCTTTTGAACAAACCCCGCTGATGAGGTCCAGGCATTGTTTCAATTCCTAAACACTGGAGTTATAAGGAAGATAATCCCTCGTCAACCCCTTTGAGCCAAAGAAGTAGGAGTTTTTTCTTTTCGAAAATTAAAACCCTTAATCATAACCTGGGGCAGGGTAGTTCTCTCAGTTGATCCAAGTGCACAGTGAATATCATCAAAGAAGTCCTTTCGAGATGAAAAGACAGTGATGGTTCATATAATCATAAAGACAGGCAGTCATTATCTCTCAGAAATAAAACCCAATAAGTCAAAACCTATGAAGGAGACTTACAAAACTGGGGCATCCCGCTGACTGTAATCACAAAAGAAACAGTTCAGGCAAAAAATAGGGATAACAAAATCAAAAAAGAAAGAGGTCCTACAAACCCTCAACCAAAAAAGGAATGACTGCCTATTCCAAATAAACTGTCAATATCCGAACCATCACTGGTATATCAGAGCAAAAGACTCAAACAAGGTCTAACGCGCGATCAGCTGAGTTTAGGTTTGAAGAACATCACGAAGAGTGGGTGGGTACAAATACTTTGAGCCTTATCCTTTGTTTCTTAAACCGTGAACCAGGCCACGCTACAACCCTTAAAAGTCCTAGCTGAAGCATGGGTTAGTTTGAAAGCATACTATTACGAAAGGTATCCTGACTCCTTAAGGCTTGCGGTAAAATAACGAGTTGACATCACAGTTTACAAAATTCACTTGTTTTTATGAAAAAATGCATTTTCCAAAACTTCAAGACGGACATAAGCTTTGCATTTTTAATATAACATTGCTTGCATATGACTATTTGTTTGAACATCATAGAAGTTCGCACGACGAATGTCTAATGAACAAAAGCACCTCCAATCAAGGGGCATGGCATGATCATTGTCCATCATCTGGGGCAGTTAAGTCAAGATTCGGAGAATCTCTCAAAATGCCAAACAGCTTGGGGCAAATCTCCGTTTGAATCACTTGGGGCATTGGACCTGAATTCCAGCTACGAATCTTGCCTGATCAAACATCTTCTGGTAGGATGGCATGGCAACACTACTGACAGTGACAACTCCCTACATCCTGAGAGAACGGACATAGTCGAAAAAATACTACGCGTAATCAAAGACCCGCTAGGTTGACACACCTAGGCAAAAATAAGGGCTTCCCGGCGAACCAAAAGGGTTCGGGCAAAAATAAAGGATGAAAAATGAAAAAAATCTATACACCTGGCAAGTCGAAAACCTGAAAAGGCGGCTTGGGCAAAAAAGGGTATCCCGGTGGACTGAAAACCTGAAAGGGCGGTCCAGGCAAAAGTTAGGGATCAAAGCGTATGACTATGTCCCGTCATCTCGTCACTTGCCTACCAGAAGAAGATTTGTCAAACGGCAGGTATCAAGCGTCTCATAGGCCTTTTTCTCCCGCAGAAACTGGGGCAATGAATTGTCTAAGCAATACAGCCGCTCTGCCCACCAGGTGCCAAGGTAAGTTCAGCTGAAGAACATGACCAAGTTACCTCCACTCCCGCCAGAGTAAGACAAGGTTCAGCAATACTCTCCCCAGGTATAGTTGGTCTTCCAGCAGCCCTAAGAAGGCACAGTATCTCCAGCAAGTCAGCGATACTCTCCCCAAGCAGAGTTAGTCTACTGTCAACCTTAAGGAAGTTGGGTACCCCCAGAAGATCTCAATATTCCCCGGCGGAGTATACATATGTTCCTCAGCAAGCATCCCCGGCAGCCTTAATATAAGATTGTTCCCCGGCGGAATACCAGACATCCCAGTGGAGCCAATTCCCCAGTACAGTCCAAAAGTTTCCCCAGGAGAGTTGAACCATCTCCCCAGTAGATTCTGGAAGCTTATCCCCAGTAGATTCTGGAAGCTTATCACCTGCAGAGTACATACGTCTCTCCCCGACCATATTCAAAGGTTATTCCCCACCAGAGCTTATAACTGGGTTATCCTCAGCTAATTACAACAGAAAGATCGTCCTCGGCAAAGTTCTTCCTATCCCCCCGGCGGAGTTCATCAAATCTTCCAACATAACTTGTCAATGGAATCCCCAGCGGAGTTATCATCAAAACCTCAGCGAAGTATCTCTTCCCACAGAGTAATTCCCCGTAGAGTAACCTCTTCGACAGGTTTATTCCCCAACGGAGTCATCTTCTCCTACCGGTTTATTCTTGCAACCATCATCCCCATCGGAAATGAAGAACTCTACTCTTCAGCATCAGCCCAGGATTCAACGAACTTCCCGGCATTCGTCAAGGATTTATTTTCCCAGACAAAGATATATTCAAAAACACTACATTGTCATACATCATGATGCATGCATATACGCATCATATCATACAATCTCATTTATGTTGAGAACATCATTGCTTGATCCATATCATGCATTGCATATGACTGACCTTTACCTTTCAGGAAGGATACAGTTAAATGATCAACTATGTCAAAGTAGACAAATACAGTCAAAAGAGACCAATCCCGTCAAAGAAGACAAATCCAGTCAAAAAAGACAAGTCCAGTTAAAGCCCAAAGGTTTTTCTGATGCTCATCCAGTCAAAGAAGACAAGTCCAGTTAAAATTAATTCCTAAAGTCATTCTAGACAACCCGTCATCATAGACACTCGTCATTATAGACACCCGTCGTTATAGACACCCGTCGTTATAGACACCCGTCGTTATAGACACCCGTCGTTATAGACGCCCGTCGTTATAGACACCCGTCGTCATAGACACCCTTCGTCATAGACACCCGTCATGATAGACACCCGTCAATATAGACACCCGTCAATATAGACACCCGTCATTATAGACACCCGTCATTATAGACACCCGTCGTTATAGACACCCGTCGTTATAGACACCCGTCGTTATAGACACCCGTCGTTATAGACACCCGTCGTTATAGACACCCGTCGTTATAGACACCCGTCATTATAGACACCCGTCATTATAGACACCCGTCAATATAGACACCCGTCATTATAGACACCCGTCATTATAGACACCCGTCGTTATAGACACCCGTCGTTATAGACAACCCGTCGTTATAGACACCCGTCGTTATAGACACCTGTCAATATAGACACCCGTCATTATAGACAACCCGTCAATGTAGACACCCGTCGTTATAGACACCCGTCGTTATAGACACCTGTCAATATAGACACCCCTCGTTATAGACAACCCGTCCATGAAGACGACCCGTTAAAAAAGACAACTCGTCAAAGAAGACAAAACCTCCTATGGTTCAGTTAAATTGATCCCTAAAGATTTTTCTGAGATAATCTGTCAGTAGAGACAACCCATCAACCTTTTGTTCCAGATTCGATACCTGTATCCAGCCAGGGCATATTTGTAGACGACTAATTCCAGATTCGATACCTGTATCCAGCCAGGGCATATCTGTGAATAATTGATTGTAGATTCGATACCTGTATCTAGCCAGGGCATGTCTGCATGAAGAGTTCCTGATTCGATTCCTGTATTTAGCCAGGGCACATCTGTGAGCGATTGTTTGTAGATTCGATACCTGTATCCAGCCAGGGCACGTCTGTCAGCAACCTTTTGAAGTTCCGGATTCGATTCCTGTATCTAGCCAGGACATATCTGTGAGCGATTGTTTGTAGATTCGATACCTGTATCCAGCCAGGGCACGTCTGTCAGCAACCTTTTGAAGTTCCGGATTCGATTCCTGTATCTAGCCAGGGCATATCTGTGAGCAATTGTTTGTAGATTCGATACCTGTATCCAGCCAGGGCACGTGTGTAAGCAACCTTTTGAAGTTCCGGATTTGATTCCTGTATCTAGCCAGGGCATATCTGTGAGCAATCGATCGTAGATTCGATACCTGTATCTAGCCAGGGCATATCTGCATCAGAGCAAAAGACTCAAACAAGGTCTAACGCACGATCAACCACTACGCCATATAAGGGCTTTTAAAGCGCTTATTTTGGCCTTTAAAAGCGCTTAAAAGCGCTTTAATAGCTGGCGCTGGCGTAGGTAACAAAAGCGCTTCTAAAAGCGCTCTGGTAGACCCCCCCTTTAAGAGCGCTTTTCCCAGAAAGCGCTGCCAAAGACCAGTAAAAAAGCATAAAAAATTAAAAAAAAACGCAGCATACAAAAGCGCTTTTGGAAAAGCGCTCTGGTAGGCCCCCCTATGAGAGCGCTTTTTCTGGAAAAAGCGCTCTGATAGGCCCCCCTATAAGAGCGCTTTTCCAAAAGCGCTTTTGTATGCTGCGTTTTTTTTTAATTTTTTATGCTTTTTTACTGGTCTTTGGCAGCGCTTTTACTAAGAAGCGCTTTAGTAGGTGGACCTTTAAGAGCGCTTTTTAAAAGCGCTGTCGTTTCTAAATGAGGTATTTTTATGTGCAGCCTATAATTTAATCCTCCCAGTCGACCTGTAATGTTTTCGACCTGTAATATTTTCGACCTGTAATATATTTTTGACCTGTAATATATTTTCGACGCTATTATTTCAGCCATCAGTAAGACAATATATATACTAATATAATACCATTATAATATCCAAAATTATATATATACATCATTACATCAATAATATTATAGTTCAAATCGACACAAATCTTACATGAAAAATTGCTTAATATAATATTGACACAAATCTTCTTTAATTTCTTCCAACTTAAGCTTCGGGTACCCAGCAGCACGGAATTCGTCAAGGTACTACAAAACAAAAACATAATATAAATGATATATTTAGTTAAATGTAATAAATTATATGAAATTATCTTAAGTTATAAATTCATACCGTGAGCGGAATCTCTAATTGATTCGCCTGAAGGATTTCTTTCATGAACCTCAAAACAAAGTATCCGCAATCATGACTGTTTCGCTGTTGCGGACACTACATAATAAAACAAATAAGATTCTATAGTTGTCTTGTTTTACCAAGTAGCATAAATATTATAAGCAAAATTGTGAAAAGTAATGTACCTGCACTTGGATCCAAGTGATGTTGTTTGATTTAGTCCGGGATACCTGTGCGTCCCGTTGACTACGGAACACTTGTATTGATCTAATTATTAAATATATAAAAGCATATGTTTAGATCAATCCCACAAATAAGAAAATATATAAATATACACGAATATATATTTAGAACGATCCCACTTACAAATCAACGATTTCCTTCATAGCCGGATAATTGGTCCATTCACCATTTACCGAATTCAGATAATACACGACTTCTCTTATCGGGTTGATAGCAAGCAGCAACCAGTGTGCTCTATAAATTAAAACAATAGGTTATATGAAAATTTTGATATACACAAAAGAAACAGAGATTAGATGAACCAAGAATGAGAAACTAACCCTACTGGTCGGGTATTATACGCCCAAAGATGCAGACTTTCTGTATTGCCGGTGGACATGAATCTATCTACTAAGCGCTGTCTAACTGATTCCGGTTCCGAAGCAATTGTCATTCCGCTGCAATGGGCGGAAGACACGAAACGGAATCTGTTAGACAATGCAGTCCCGCGCAACACTCTGTCATACAACAACCTTAAATAAAAACATAATAAACATTAGATTATTTTCATTGAAATGTGTAAATAAATTATATTGTGGGACTAATTAAATAATATATCGGATGAGTGAATATTATCGGATGTATGAGTGCATATTACTGACGCCTAGTTGATCATGCCTAAAAATCTCTTCCAAGTCATCAATTGTAATATGTGACGGGAATTCAATACCGAAGACACTTTCATCCATGTTGATTTCACGTAAACCACCATCCTTCAAATCGGACATATCAACCATTGTTGCGAGTGTCGAACGGTATCGAGGCACAAAAGCACCGCCTTTTTTTGCCGCTTGCTTCGGAGGACCAGTGGGTGGTACGCTACGAACCTGCTGCGTCACTTGTTGTGACTCCCGAGCGGATGCCTAAAAATCATATAAGTTAGGTAAAATATAAAATCATGCAGATTTAGATTCAGACTATATATTAACACTTTAAATGTACCTCTTTTAGTGATGCAATAGACTCCTCCTCCTGTAAAATCCCTTTACCCTTAATTGCGGGTTTTATAGGAGCAGTCTAAAATTAAAATGTAAAAAATAATTAATAAACGGTTTAGAATTGACATTCGAAAACTAAATGATTCATAATCGTTTTCAGTATACCTCATCACTAATGGTAATGAGCTCCGAGGGCCATGCAACAAATGATCCTATTGCATCTCGCAGCAATGTCGTCTCTGAGACCATGTCAGGTACCGGTAGAATCGCATCACGATCTAATACAACATCCACCGATACTTTCAGGTGTCCATCCGGGAGCGGTCTGTGGTGAAGTAAATCTCCCGAAGTGTTGTGCACTTTTCCCTTGCCAACTAGTCGATAATTCGGTGACGATAAGTATAGTTGGCAAGATGAAATGCCCTAAACAAATAGAAAATATAAAGTAATTATCATTAATAAAATAGAACAGTTTGTAAGGAAAAAAACTTATAATTACCTCGGGAAATTTCTTTTGATAGTTGATACTAGCCTTATCACTAGTTTCTCTCACCGATGAAGTGTTGCAATTTTCTCTCATATACATATCTTTATCTCTTTGCAATTCAGAGACCTGTGCTTGCAATTCCTGCAACTTTTGCAACACTTCTTCATTGGTAAGATTTGATCTTCTCCTAGAACTCTTATAAAAAGAGGTTGGAGTCACACCATGACCCTTACCCCTCACCCGACCGGGATACTCGGGAGCATCTAGTACTCTACTAAGTACGCTCTCCTCACCGGTGGATGCCGATTGCGACAAGGTCTCCTGTAATTCATTTACATTTAAATAATTATTAGTGGAGATAAAAAATCATTTATATATTAAAAAACATTTGATTTAATTAAAGACACAGTATTATACTTACACATTCAGTATAAACTCTCTGAACATCGGGATCGACAGCTTGATTCTTGCCCACACGAGCTTCCTTCCACAACACATGTACAGGAAGTGAAGCTTCCTCACTTTTAGTCTCCTCTAACTATGCATTGACACAAACGATAAAATCGTCAATTAAAACATGCACATGTAGACAATTAATTAAAACGCATTTCTATTTACTTACAATTTTATCCTCTAAGCGTGCATATCCCAAACGCCCTTTTTTGTATGGATACGCGGGTTTGGATGCTCTCTCACTATTCGTGGCACTCTTTTTCTGAAAAGCTTCATCTCTTTGCTTTACAAACTCAGCCCAATCTGCTTCATCAATGAAGGTCGCATACTTTGTTGGCCGTCCCGGTGCCTCTTCAAGAAATTTTCCATCTTTATCCTTAAGATAGGTGTTTGTCAAAAAACTTTTCCACCCTCTATATCTTTTGCCGGCCAAACTAAGTATGTAGCTTTTACGTTCATCTGGTATCTCAAAAGTCCTCTGCAAAAAAACGTATGCATAGTGTGTTAGTATAAGTAATTTAAACAATTTATCGTCAAGATAATAACAACAATTAACCATATATGATATATACCTGAAGCTCTTCCCAAATCGCTTGTTTTTTCTCCTCCAATTCTAAATTTTTCGTTTTCGATTTCCAGGTAGCTACGGAGACCGGAATATGCATACGGACAAGTGTACCAATATAACTTGTCAACTTTGCAGAATTAGGACCAATTGGTTGTTTATCAGAATTCCATTCCAATCGGTATACTAATCCTTGGTCTCTATGTCGAATGATTCCCTTCATAATAGTGATGCCTCGTGCAACCTCTTTTGCTTCAGTATCAGGTGGAGCATTTGTATCCGAAGCAACTCTTTCTTGTGAGTTTTCTTGTGAGTTTTCAGGTGGGTTTTCAGGTGGAGCATCTCTATCTGGAGCCATTGAACCTGTATCAAACAAACTAAAGCACATTAGTACACTATTAACACTAACTTTATCACTAATTACTATCGGATACTAGTGATTCAGTCTTGGATACAGGTAATAACAATTATATTCAAACAATAGTGAAGTCGGATTTCAAACAATTATATTCAGTCCTTATCTTACAAGTTAGCTTTGTCAAGTCTTAGTTAGGTTCAAATCAAATTTTAAAAGCAATGTATTGTTAATTGTTAAATGACGCTCTATAGTTTTCAATTCATCTTGATTTTCTTTGCACCTAGACATGACTTTTTTAATTTATGATTACAGCATATGCAAGATGAAGATAACGGCAGACCATACAGGAAGTTCAAGCCTTAAAGTATGAAAGATGTTTTGTAATAATCAGGGGTTATGAAAGTTAGACCTTAATGAGGCTACAACATGTGTTTTTTCTTAACTGTCCAATGGCCGTTTGTTTATGTAGTTTGGTTCTATCAAACCATTCCTTGTTTGGCTGTCTTCATTGATATTGCTGTGATGTTAAATTGCTACTGTTGTTCAAAATCAATAATATATTTGGAAAACAAAGCATGAGTCTGAGAAAATATTAGATTGACAACTATAAGATTGTATTTGCTAGGTTAAAAGCTAATGGTGTTACTCAAACTCTATTATATTCCTTGCAGTAACTTTCATTAGATGTTTTTGTTGTATTACTCATATTAGCAATGAAATGCTTTGACTTTTATTCTGTAAAAAACAAGAAAATGTTACAAGAAGTCGTGTACATGGAAACAATTGTAACCATGAAATGAATGATAAATCAAAGAGTTTCATTAAAATGTTAGGACAATGTTAGTAGGTCTAAAGATGGATTCCAAGTGGGGATGAGAAGCAAACCTGCTGTGTTAGAGGACAATGCATAAACAGATGTTCTTGGCAAAGAGGAATAGTTGCAGAATATGGGCGAATGTTTTGTTATCATCATCATCATTCCGTATTAATAAAAAACTTTTTAAAAGTTGTATGCCAAAGTTGTATTCTTTTATTGATTTTCTTATAATGTAAAAACATTAGAATCTTTTAGTCCCTACTAATAACATATTACTTATATCATTTTCTAGAGTGTCATTTTCTAGTCCACAATCCCATAAAGAAACAAGAGATGATGAGTTTGTAACTGCAGTAGCAGCTGCAACATTTTCCATTTACTCATTAGAAGAAGCAGGGATACTTGATTTGAAGAAAATAAGAGATAGTCCCAAGTTTTCAAAGAACCAATCTATAGCAAGGCAACCAAGTTATGGTAAATAGACATTTACTTATATCATATATCTTTCCTAAAAATATTATAATTTTCTATTAAATTACATATAACAACATCACCTTAGGTGAAACATCAAAGGAAAGAGCATTTAGAGAAGAAAGCAGGACTAGAGAAGGTGCTTTACCTCTAAGAAGTTCAAGTGGTATATCCTCAATTGGAGGGTATCAAAAGCAAAAAGGGATTATAATACATAACAAAAATGATAAGGCAAAAGCAGAAGCTTGGGAAAAGGCTAAGCTACAAAGGATTCAAAAGAGGTAATAGTTGTTAAAGTGATAATATAGAGTCAACAAATATAGATTTAGTATATTCTTGACAATGCAAGAAAATTCAGGTATGAGAAGATGAAGCTCCAAATCCTTTCTTGGGAAGGGGAGAAAAGAATCCAAGCCAAAATCCAAATGGAAAGGAAAAAGGTTAGCATTGAATTTGTTGGATTTCTACTTTTAAATTTTATGAACTCATGATATAATTTTCATGTAATTATTATAGAATGAAATGGATCATCAAAGAGAAAATGTAATAGAACATTACAAGAGAAAGATAGCAAGGTTAGATATGATTGGACAAAGAGCAATCAAAGAGTTGGAAGATCAAAGAAGAAAACAAGAGTTGAAAGTCAAAGAAAAAGCTAACAAAATTAAAAAAACTGGCAGGGTGCCTGTCACATGTTTCTGTTTCAAGTCTTTATAGGATCAAGTCATGGAATTCAGAACAAGAATCACCAAAGTTGAAAAAGATTGTGAAGTTAAATTTAAAGAATGTCTTCCTCAATTTGGCTTTAGCAATTTAATGATGATATACTTGAGAAAGATTATCTCTCAAATTGTTCACATAGTATTGCACTAGTTCAAATTTCATATTTAAAGTCAAGTCAAATTGTTATGGTTGTATGAAATGGATTACGAGTTATTCAATAAATTGGACTTATAATATTATGAACTAATTCACATTAGTGTAGTGGAAGAATAAAATTTATGGTATTTAACAGGACCGGTTTAAGGTTCAACAGGATCGGTTTGTAATGTTGTTAACATTGGAGAATTTATGGTATTTAAAGTTAATTAAAATGTTAATTATGAAATTCTACAATTTATAGACGATACTATCTTTGTAGGTAAGGGATCATGGAAAAATTTATGGAGCATCATTCTGTGAAAACCACATGTAATCTATATGTAATTTATCTGTCCTGTTAAGCACTTAAGCTGAAATATAAACTTAAACTAATGAGATAAAAATCTCAGTAAGACTTATATGCAAAATATACAAGCCTATTAAAACATTTTCTTAGCTATAACTTTTTTAGTAGTAATGTTATAATTTCCTTTGTGTGATTAATTCTTTTGTCTACAGTGTATATAGGATTAGAAATTTATAATCCCACTTGAAGTATCTCCAAGCATAACTCACACCCTCTTAGTACAGTCCATAAAGTTTGAAAATATTGCTTCTCTTCTTTGCACAAATCTCACAGTTGATAGGTGCATCTTTTATTCAGTTTCGATAACGTAACACTACTATCCGACTCCTTTTATCTGTTCTACAATCTATTACAATACAAATACCAAATTCCAACATCGTTCTTCCCAGACTTTTTTTACCGGATCCGTACTAAGTGTTGCCTTTGACATTTTTACTATCGATGACTGACAATATATGAATGTCTATTAACGATTAATCACACACAAATCATCTAAAAGAGGGAAAAACACAAATGAACACCAACAACTTAAGTACTTGTGAATTTTAAGCTAGTATACACCTAAAATTAGGACCCGTAAATCCAACTTCATTTTCCTAACCCTCTAACATACCCTTAATTAGGAACAATCATGTAGAACATTTCACAAACAGTTAATATGCAATATCTAAAACTAAGAAAAATGAGTAAGAATTCTTACCTCAAACCAAAGAAATGGAAAAAGTGAAATGAACTTTTAGATCTTTCCTCTAACAAGTAACAGCCAACCTTCAAAATCCCTTGGGTTTCGTTCTTGCTAATTGGTGTTGGTGTTGGTGATTGTGTCGTTGATGCGAGGCGGGGGGTAATGGTGAGAGGATGACGAAGGGATGAACAGAGGATGGGAAGGGTCGACGAAGGGATGAACAGTGGATGGGAAGGGTCGACGAAGGTTCAAAGGTTGTTATGAAAGTGAGGACGACGAAGGATGAAGAGAGCTTGAATAGGAGCAGACGAATGGAGAAGAAGATGAACAACTGGGTTTCGTTTTCTGTAAATTTAGGGGTTTAGAAATTATTTAACTAACCTATGCCAGCGCTTTTAAACAAGCGCTTTCGTATCCCCCCCCTATGCCAGCGCTTTTTAAAAAGCGCCTTCATATCCCCCACCTATGCCAGCGCTTTTATAAAAGCGCTTTCGTATCCCCCACCTATGCCAGCGCTTGTTAAAAAGCGCCTTCATATCCCCCACCTATGCCAGCGCTTTTAAAAAAGCGCTTTCGTATCCCCCACCTATGCCAGCGCTTTTAAAAAAGCGCCTTCGTAGGTTTCCCTTTTTTTTAATTTTGTTTTTTGTGAAGGCTATGACAGCGCTTTTTCAATAAGCGCTTTCGTATCCCCCACCTATGCCAGCGCTTTTAAAAAAGCGCCTTCGTAGGTTTCCCTTTTTTTTAATTTTGTTTTTTGTGAAGGCTATGGCAGCGCTTTTTCAATAAGCGCTTTAGTAGAGGCGCTGGCAAAAGCAGTTTTTGGCGTAGTGAACTGAGTTTAGGTTTGAAGAACATCACGAAGAGTGGGTGGGTACTAATACTTTGAGCCTTATCCTTTGTTTCTTAAATCGTGAACCAGGCCATGCTACAACCCTTAAAAGTCCTAGATGAAGCATGTGTTAGTTCGAAAGCATACTGTTACAAAAGGTGTCCTGACTCCTTAAGGCTTGCGGTAAAATAACGAGTTGACATCACAGTTTACAAAATTCACTTGTTTTTATGAAAAAATGCATTTTCCAAAACTTCAAGACGGACATAAGCTTTGCATTTTTAATATAACATTGCTTGCATATGACTATTTGTTTGAACATCATAGAAGTTCGCACGACGAATGTCTAATGAACAAAAGCACCTCCAATCAAGGCATGGCATGATCATTGTCCATCATCTGGGGTAGTTAAGTCAAGATTCAGAGAATCTCTCAAAATGCCAAACAGCTTGGGGCAAATCTCCGTTTGAATCACTTGGGGCATTGGACCTGAATTCCAGCTACGAATCTTGCCTGATCAAACATCTTCTGGTAGGATGGCATGGCAACACTACTGACAGTGACAACTCCCTACATCCTGAAAGAATGGACATAGTCGAAAAAATACTACGCGTAATCAAAGACCCGCTAGGTTGACACACCTAGGCAAAAATAAGGGCTTCCCGGCGAACCAAAAGGGTTCGGGCAAGAATAAGGGATGAAAAATGAAAAAAATCTATACACCCGGCAAGTCGAAAACCTGAAAAGGCGGCTTGGGCAAAAAAGGGTATCCCGGTGGACTGAAAACCCGAAAGGGCGGTCCAGGCAAAAGTTAGGGATCAAAGCGTACGACTATGTCCCGTCATCTCGTCACTTGCCTACCAGAAGAAGATTTGTCAAACGGCAGGTATCAAGCGTCTCATAGGCCTTTTTCTCACGCAGAAACTGGGGCAATGAATTGTCTAAGCAATACAGCCGCTCTGCCCACCAGGTGCCAAGGTAAGTTCAGCTGGAGAACATGACCAAGTTACCTCCACTCCCGCCAGAGTAAGACAAGGTTCAGCAATACTCTCCCCAGGTATAGTTGGTCTCCCAGCAGCCCTAAGAAGGCACAGTATCTCCAGCAAGTCAGCGATACTCTCCCCAAGCAGAGTTAGTCTACTGTCAACCTTAAGGAAGTTGGGTACCCCCAGAAGATCTCAATATTCCCCGGCGGAGTATACATATGTTCCTCAGCAAGCATCCCCGGCAACCTTAATATAAGATTGTTCCCCGGCGGAATACCAGACATCCTAGTGGAGCCACTTCCCCAGTACAGTTCAAAAGTTTCCCCAGGAGAGTTGAACCATCTCCCCAGTAGATTCTGGAAGCTTATCCCCAGTAGATTCTGTAAGCTTATCACCTGCAGAGTACATACGTCTCTCCCCGACCATATTCAAAGGTTATTCCCCACCAGAGCTTATAACTGGGTTATCCTCAGCTAATTACAACAGAAAGATCGTCCTCGGCAAAGTTCTTCCTATCCCCCCGGCGGAGTTCATCAAATCTTCCAACATAACTTATCAACAGAATCCCCAGCGGAGTTATCATCAAAACCTCAGCGAAGTATCTCTTCCCACAGAGTAATTCCCCGCAGAGTAACCTCTTCGACAAGTTTATTCCCCAACGGAGTCATCTTCTCCTACCGGTTTATTCTTGCAACCATCATCCCCAGCGGAAATGAAGAACTCTACTCTTCAGCATCAACCCAGGATTCAACGAACTTCCCGACATTCGTCAAGGATTTATTTTCCTAGACAAAGATATATTCAAAAACACTACTTTGTCATACATCATGATGCATGCATATACGCATCATATCATACAATCTCATTTATGTTGAAAACATCATTGCTTGATCCATATCATGCATTGCATATGACTGACCTTTACCTTTCAGGAAGGATACAGTTAAATGATCAACTATGTCAAAGTAGACAAATACAGTCAAAAGAGACCAATCCCGTCAAAGATGACAAATCCAGTCAAAAAAGACAAGTCCAGTTAAAGCCCAAAGGTTTTTCTGATGCTCATCCAGTCAAAGAAGACAAGTCCAGTTAAAATTAATTCCTAAAGTCATTCTAGACAACCCGTCATCATAGACACTCGTCGTTATAGACACCCGTCGTTATAGACACCCGTCGTTATAGACACCCGTCGTTATAGACACCCGTCGTTATAGACACCCGTCGTTATAGACACCCGTCGTCATAGACACCCGTCGTCATAGACACCCGTCGTCATAGACACCCGTTATTATAGACACCCGTAAATATAGACACCCGTCAATATAGACACCCGTCATTATAGACACCCGTCGTTATAGACACCCGTCGTTATAGACACCCGTCGTTATAGACACCCGTCGTTATAGACACCCGTCGTTATAGACACCCGTCGTTATAGACACCCGTCGTTATAGACACCCGTCATTATAGACACCCGTCATTATAGACACCCGTCAATATAGACACCCGTCATTATAGACACCCGTCATTATAGACACCCGTTGTTATAGACACCCTTCGTTATAGACAACCCGTCGTTATAGACACCCGTCGTTATAGGCACCTGTCAATATAGACATCCGTCGTTATAGACAACCCGTCAATGTAGACACCCGTCGTTATAGACACCCGTCGTTATAGACACCCGTCGTTATAGACACCTGTCAATATAGACACCCGTCGTTATAGACAACCCATCCATGAAGACGATCCGTTAAAAAAGACAACTCGTCTAAGAAGACAAAACCTCCTATGGTTCAGTTAAATTGATCCCTAAAGATTTTTCTGAGATAATCTGTCAGTAGAGACAACCCATCAACCTTTTGTTCCAGATTCGATACCTGTATCCAGCCAGGGCATATTTGTAGACGACTAATTCCAGATTCGATACCTGTATCTAGCCAGGGCATATCTGTGAATAATTGATTGTAGATTCGATACCTGTAT